GGTTTGAGATATTGACTTCGGGTTTGCGCGAAAAGTTTTCTTTTTTTATGCTCTTTCGAACGAGCTATCACAAAGGGGGTCTTCCCATTTGAAAATTTAAAGTTGGGGGCCGTTTCCCCCCCCAAGGGGGGCCCCCCTGAAAATTTTAGGGGGGCCGAAAAGTAGCTTCCTTTGACCTAGGAATATCCCCCAAGTTTCAAATCTTTATCTCAATTAGGTAAAAAGTTAGAGGGGGTGGAAGGGACTTTTGAATCACCCTGTATATGATTAAAAGCCTGATAAAAATTAAATTTTTCCACATTAAACACAACACGGCTAGGCTCGGAGAGTAATTTATGAGTAAGCTGACGATGGATAAGACAAATGGGTTAGTAGTGCTGATCACGGAATGGAGAATTTGCACGTAAATTTTTTATTGCTTCATCTAAAAGTGCCGTAAGAACTGATTTTGCAGTATTTTTTATCATTTTTTTCGGCTATGGGAAACAGTATATAAATAGATTTAAAAGTGAGTAAATGCGCGGCGCAAACCGGGATAAGCCCCGCGAACAACTTGACATTTTTTTTAGTAGTGCTAGAGACATGTTTGCAAATCAACTCACCGTTTCAATTACCAATTTGAGCCACCAGAGCGCTGCACTGGTCCACGTTGAAAAGCTTACAGGCGAGCTCTTTTGTTCTATTTTATGCAGGAGAGCAGGGATTAATATTATCTCTTTGTTTTTAGCAATAAGGAAAGTGAAAACGCGAGAAGTAAAAACGACCTCAGGACTAAACCACTGTAGAAATTGTGAAATTTCTAAGAGGAGGATAAGAGGTGGTAGAGGGAAGTTGGCCAGGAGGGGGTCATGGTCAAGTCAAACCTTAAGTCAAGCTCAATGCGGCAAGAGGTGCTCATATTTATTTGAGAAAATTCATATAAAAAGGCACGGAATACTGGTATATCCTACTTTTTAAAATGCAGTCCAATTGAGACTCATGAAGAATCTGTAGGAGCAGCTAAGAAAAATGTTGATACTTGCAGGTGGAGACGGTTGGTGATAAGTACATGGCAGTTAGTGGTCTTCCAGAGCCGTGCAACGAGCACGCGCGGTGCATCGCCCGTTTAGCCCTCGATATGATGGACCTGACACGGGAAGTGATAATAAATGGAGAACCTGTGGTACGTCATTCTAAAACCAGAATTAGTTCCTTGATCATGATTCTTATCAATAAGTGAGCACATTTTCAGATTCAGCTGGCTGCTGCGAGCTCGTTATTTATGGACCAGAACGCAACCACAGAGGCATTTAAGTAGGTCGCCATAAAAACTAATCGATGGCTAATTGTGATAGCTGAGTATCTCTGTTGGAATATTTCGGAAGCTCCGATTATCTTTTATCTTCACCAAAGAAAGCTAATCCAAAACTGGTCTGTTGAAAACTTTTGCTAGAGCAAAAAAAAAAAAGTTGTTATTCATTGAAAATGTCTCAAAAATCTCATCGTGATTTTTGAGACGTATTATCTAGCAGGAACAACTCTCATTTTTGCTCTAGCAAAAGTTTGCAACAGGCCCATCCCTGGCAATTTTGTGTGATTTTTTTTTAAGAAGTGAAGAAAACTCACAGGTGACTAAAGCTCAGGTTGGTCCGTTTTCTAATAAATATAAGATATGAGCCGAGACTCACATTTTTCGCAGTCTAAAATACGCATTTTTCGACTTTAGACATCGGAAATGACATGAATGAATCGAAAGTGACTCACTTCTGGAAATTATCTTCCAATGGAATGAATAGATCTTGAGTTCGTTAAAACAAAAGTCGATTTTAATTTTGTGACAGTTTTGAAAGTATAATTTTCTTTTTTCTAGATCTAAACTATTTTGCATTTGCACGTTCCTAAAGCTTATAAAGCTGATGAGGTATTTTCCACAAAACTGCAAGACTTTGCTTTTGTTTTAAGATTGTGGCGGTTTGAATTATTCTCGTACGGAGTTATTCCGTTTCGGGTGCGATTCTTACGAATTGCTCTTCGCATAAGGAAAAATCACAAAGACTTTTTACAATCAATAGTAACTGGGTAGTTCTTAAACAAATATTACGCACCAGGATATGGTGTAAAAACTTAAAAAGTTTCAAAACATTTTTTGTTCTTTCAATCCACGTGTGACAATCTGCTGGCCGTGCGTCATAGTTTTCAAGTTATTGGAATTTCTAGACAATTGACAATAGTCGACCGATATGTGACTGCACATTCAATAATTTTTTAACATTTTTCAGAAAATAACGATTGGAATTCATTCCGGAGAAGTGGTGACCGGGGTTATCGGGCACCGTATGCCAAGGTATTGCCTCTTCGGGAACACAGTGAATCTAACGAGTAGAACAGAAACGACAGGAGAAAAAGGCAAAATCAATGTTTCTGAAGACGCTTATGGGTAAGTTCAACTAGTTTCTATAATCTCCATTCTCCTTTCCCTTAAGCACTTCACGACATATTATGGACCAATTTTCAATGAGAAAATGGGGCAAAATTGTAAAAATGCATCTGCAAAGTCAGGCATTTCTGTAGTTTAAAGTCTCGAAAATAATGATAGAAAATTGAGTTAGAAGGGGAAATTCAGAATTCAAAAATTGAATTTCTACCGAGTTTTCGTTTTAAAAAACATGGTTTTCTTCCTAAGACGTAATTTTAGTTTAGAAGTTTCCAATGCGGTCCCATCGCATTGAGAACAGCAAGTTTTGGATACATATGTTAAGATTTTTATTTGCAATTAAGGGTTTTCCTACTTAATGGATAAAAACAGGAGCAAACATTTCATAAAATGTAGGAATTGTATTTATTCTCAGTTCATCACAAATGTCATTATTTTTGCTATCTTATGGTAACATTTTTTAGGGTTTAATAAAAAAAAAAATTACTGTACGAAAGAAAAAAAAAAGTTGGACCCACTGTAGTTTTGGACATAAAATCAATCAAAACTAATCTCCTTAAGTTAGATTAGTAGTGACTTTACCGTGCATTTTAAGCTATATCTAAAACTAAAACCTTCCACGTGAGTATTCAGTCCATTTAAAAATGAAACATCTCAGAGAGATCGCTCTGACTGAGTATTATTCTGCCTGGTCCCGCGATCACGGAGCATGAAATGGCCTCCTTTGCAAATGCAGTCGATACTCCGTGAATCCTATCTACACTAAAAATTTTACGAAATATACAACACGGATCAGTCTAATTCCATGCGTGCCCCGTCTAAAATATCATGATCAGCAAATGCAAGCCCTAGTTCAGTCCCTTTACAGGTACACATAAATCTTAGTGTTACCAGCAAATTATTTCAATTCAATTTACTTAATCAGAAGTAACATTGCATGCAAGTGAATAAGGTCCATCTCAAAACTTTTTCAGGTACCTGTAAACCGAAAATAGCATTATTGGCCAATTTAAATCCCAATTTATCTCACTTCCAAAACGACTCTAAAATAACATGCGTTATCAGCTTTAAGTCCCGTTTCTGCCCGCGTCAAAATATCCCTAACCTAAATCCAGCAGGTGCAAGTATATAGAGGTGTCGTCAGCTAAGTTGATGGTTGTTTACTTTCGGTTTGCAGGCGTTTTCGCGTCACTACTATCCACTTGAAAACATCTGGCTCTCTCAGAAGCAAGAACACACGCTTAGATAAGTTTTATAATACTTTCAAACCTTGTGACACTTTAATTTTTAGCCACACAGAAATCCCAACCACAAAAAAGTCGCAAATCATAACTGATAAGTAGTTTTTTTACGATACGATCATGAGACTGATGTTTTCAATGTGGATAGTAGCAAACGCGGCTTTGTTCAGAGGCCCAAATTCGTCGTTGGCGCTTGCAAACCGAAAGTAAACAACCGTCAACCTAGCTGACGACACCTCTAAATTCCAGTCCACTTTCAAGCATACCTGACCACCAACCACACGATCAGCTTTAAATCCCAATTCAGTCGACTTCCAAGTCGAGATATTGCTTGACAGGGCCCGGCACATCCAGTCTCTGGATGCCATGCGGGAGCTGCCAGCTATCGTTGAGCGCGCGTCGCACCGCGCAGCGACTCAAGTGTTTGAGATCGACCGGCTCCAAGCCGACCTTGCTCAACGGGACGATCCCCCGCTCGATCAACTCGGGGTGGACCGACACGAAATCGTCACTACTCTCCGCCTCGGAGTCCTCCGGGAAGAGATTCGGGATCCTCTCAACCGCACGCAGAAGGAGCTCCAAACAAGCCAGGAAGTCCGCGGGGAGCTCTTTCTCCTCCTCGCAGCACGCGTTCAACTTGTACAAAACCGGTTGGAACGCACAGAACTTGACCGGATGCCGTTCGTCAGTTAGAACGGCGCCGTAGCGTACAAGAAGGGTGAGGACGTCGAGTTTCGCCGCCTGCGCCGCGATCTTCGCCGGGGTCATCTGGTTGTACGACGTCATCGGGATGTCGATTAGTCGCCTCCGGGTGCCCAAAGAAGGGAACTCGAGTTGCTCGGCGGCGGCGTGGTCGAGGAAGAAGGCGACGGCGTCGATGTTCTCGGCGCGGTTGGCGAAGTCGCTCTTCCAGCCGGAGATGAGGTGGGTGATCTTGGGGCCGAAGATGGCGCCCTCGAAGATGCGCTCGAAGGTGGCCTCGCACGTGAAGACGTTCTCGAGGAGCCGGGTGAGGGTGGGCGCGTCGCGGAGCTTCCAGTCGAAGGAGATCTTGAGGGCGACGTAGACGACGGCGTGGTACTTGCCCAGGAGGCAGAGGTTCCGGTTCTTGGCGCGCATGGCCTCGTGGTAGTCGAGCGCGCAGGTGACGGCCTTCCTGCAGCCGGCCTGGGCGTCGAACGAGGAGTCCGAATCCGAGTCGCCGCGGCAGCAGCCGTAGATGATGGTGCTGAAGTAGTCGACCAGTTGCTTCCGTTTGTAGCGCGGGATGAGGCTCCCGCGGTCCAGCTCCGTGAACACCTGGTCGAAGAAGCAGTTGATGAACAGCTCCATTGTTGAGTCGCCCATCGTCGGATCAACCCCCGGTTGCCCGCTTACGAAAACTCGACTAGTTGAAAGACTGTTCGCGTTTAGTTTCCCGATTGAGGCAACTAATTGACGCTCGACCGTTTGATTGATTGCAGAAATTAGTTGACGTTGAAAATTAGTTGATAAACACACGTGTCAATGCCCGGTTGCCCGCTTAAAATAGCTCGACTAGTTGAAAGACTAGCCGCAGTTCGCGTTCAGTTCCCCGATTGAGGCACCTAGTTGACGCTCAACCGTTTGATTGATTACAGAAATTAGTTGACGTTGAAAATTAGTTGATAAACACACGTGTCAATGTCCGGTTGCCCGCTTAAAATAGCTCGACCAGTTGAAAGACTAGCGGCAATGCGCGTTTAGTTCCCCGATTGAGGCAACTGATTGACGCTCAACCGTATGATTGATTACAGAAATTAGTTGACGTTAAAAATTAGTTGATAAACACACGTGTCAATGCCTGCTGATCGCGTGAGGGGAGGTTACTGACCCCTCTTGACCTCTAAGACTTTGGCTCAGTCTTGAAATCTTTATTTACTGGTCCGAACAGACAAACGATTGGAAGCGTCAATGTTTTTTGACTATAGATTCTCAGGTCGTCATCAATATATGCCACTTGAAATTTATTCTTAAAGGCTTACAGGCTTAAAGCCTCGAGATCCATTTTATCAGAAATCAATTTACTTTTGGGATTATATTGAAATCAAGAGCAATCTGGATTTACGTGTAGTAAGAAGAAAATAAACGGATCGAAGAAGCCCAGCTTTACAAAATCACACAATCGAGCAAACGATTCGAAGAAAGTCACTGAGTATTCCCCGTCATTTTGTGCTTTTACAAGCAGAAGAGACTATACGATATCAGCTGTTCAAAAATATTGAGATTGAGGAAAACTCCGTGGTAACCGATTACGGCAACTAGAATTTTGTCCAATTCAAATGCATTTGATTTAATTATATTTTAGAATTTTTTTAAAATCATTTTTCAGCAGAATTCTGTAAACGGGTCTTTACGCACAAGTCGTCACCCTCCTATCAATTGCACATTGATCACAAAAATGTATTCGAACGGATCGTTGAAATGAGATTACATTCCATTTGCGGATGAACACTTCGCCATAAAACGCGTCAAGGTTATGTCACACTAGTGAAAAAATGTCCGATCTTTATTGTTAAGGGCATCTACGCTAAAACCGAAGAACAAACAAATTTTCATCATCGAAATTCTAAACAGCCACAGATCTCGGAATGGACGATTCTTTTTACCGGCCGCGGTTGATATTTCCTGTGCGACTGTTCTAAAGAGAAAGGGTGTCTCCCGCTCGATGGAAAGCGAGCATGGGAAACCATAGAAAGCATCCTTCATTCACTGCACCTACGAGAGCTTAATCCACTTAGGGTTAAAAAACTCGATACGGACATGTGACAATGAAACGTGGATGTTTGGGTGATTTCTGAATGAATTCTCACGTGACTATGATTGTGCAATATATGCAAAGAAACCTCGTAGATCAAGCAGCACAAGGCATCATGGTGCGATGATTAATATCAGCCAAAAATTGACTCAGTTTAGCCTGTAAGCCATCCAGGATGTCTACTAAAACAGGCTGGCCAAAAATCGGCTATTCCTCAGTACATTCCCAATACATTCAGTGCGTCCTACACAGAAAAATTCAGTATTTTTTCAGTTACTCTATTCGACAAATTTTTCGAAAAATGCTGAACATTTGAAATGGACATGTTGCATGTGTGAGGAATTTGCGATTTGACTGTTAATTCTAATGTAAAAGTTCGCGAGAAACACGATGGTGCTACTGGCTTTCTCTGAAATCAACTCCCAAGCTAAAAAAAAGCTCTCAAGTTGAAGCCAAAATGGAGGGGATGTATCCCACCCTACCCTAAGAGTCCACCTTTACATCAAGACAAACTCTCCATGCAAAGATAGGAAGCAAATACATTAGCAGGGTTTCCGTAATTTCAGTTTTGGAGTCCCCAATGAATGTGGCAGCCTGGCAACGTATTTGCTCCCTATCTTTGCATGGAGAGTTTGTCTTGATGTAGACGTGGACTCTCAGGGTAGGGTGGGATATCCCCTCCATTTTGGCCTCAACTTGAGAGCTTTTTTTGAGCTTGGGAGTTGATTTCAGGGAAAACCAGTGGCACTATCGTGTTTCTTGCGAACTTTTACATAAGAATCAACAGTCAAATCGCAAATCCCTCACACATGCAACATCTCCATTCTCGCTCAAATTGGGACAAAAATGCCGTAAACGTAAAATTGTAGGTAACAAGGAAAAAAAATTGGGATCTTTTTGCGGAGTTTCCGTACTTGTTCAGTGCTTCCGGACCGCCCTTAAAAAATCAGTACCGATTCTGATTTTTCCGGACTAGTAGACACCCTGCCATCTCATTTGAGTGCAGTCAGAGTGAAAAAAGTCTGCTAGTTGCAAACAAAAATTGCTATCATTTCGTATCCTCTTTTTATAATAAATTGCCGGTGCATTTGAACTTTAGAGTTTGATTGAATACATCGATGAAATCTGGGGAAACATGGCTAAAGAGAGGGGAATGATAGAGACGTGTTAAAAATAAAGTGTGTGTATTTATAAATTCTACGATCTCATTGTTTTTTGTATGGTTTTTTGTGATTTTTTAGGATTCTCATACAAGAAGGAAACAATGATCCACAGTTTCAATTAGACTTCCGTGGTCCAGTAATGATGAAAGGACGATCCGAACCGATGAAAGTGTGGTTCCTGTCAAGAAAATCCGTTCCATCAGAGTAAAATTCAGAACGATCATTTGGTCCACTCGGATCGAATGGTCACTCCTAGAGTACACGGTAAAATACCACGTCAAATGGACGTATGTCTGCCAAACGGAACCATAGACTAAAGTCCCGTTATACAGAGAGTTAAGACAACACGGCTCATAGTTGTCACAAACGGAAACAAAGATTACACAAATTGAACATTCTTCGAAATCTTTGATCAACTAACTCTCGAATTTCTCTCTCCGTTCCTTTTCTAATTCCGTTTGTTCCTTGCCGTTCCCTTGATTCCCCGATCTGTTTCAGTTTATAATCTTTGCAATCAGTGAAAATGTAATCTTTATTCCCGTTTATGACACCGTGGAGACCTAAAATACGGGAACCAATCAGAAATGGATTCGTACCGTCTTTACTCTCAGTATAAAGGGACTCTACTATAGACGAGTGAGAAAGATCGGGTGTGCTCTAGAAAGCTGCAGAAGAAACAATGTTAAAGTGGGCATGATTCTCTTTGAAGAAATGAAAAAGCGGAACTTTACATTCTGTCGAACGGAACTAAGTGCCGACTGAATGCGGCACTCATGAGCCATGGGCTTGGGCATGTGACAAGAGCCTCGTAAACAGGGCTCATGAGTTAAAGACTCGGATGAATCCGATCGTCTTCTCCGTCATCACCGCTGACGTCACTGGGGCTTTGTGATTCCCATTCATTCTTTCGACCCTTAACTGACGAGCTCACCCCTTCTTTCCCACCTGTCTCTGGTTCCGTTGTGCAGAAATACGTCCAAATGGGATCTCATAAGTAACATTCAGTGCCGAGTTTGACGTTCCTTGACATCGCTCTGAATGTCTCCGAAGTCAAGATATACGATGCAATATGCTTTCTAACTCTGTTCTTGTTTTTTGAAAAAAAAAAAAAGAGAGGCAAAAACTGCAATTATTTCAAACAACACGTGAGAGAGTAATATTAATAAAGGAGGAGAGAAGAGAGGAGGTGGGGCAAAATCGGTAAAATTACCAGCTTTTGTGGTAACTGTAGTTGATTCTATCTCCGATTAGTTCGGATATATGCGGGTTATTGGTCCAATATATACCTATAGTGAAGGTAATATTTACTAGTACATGGTGTTAAATTTGTAGATATCATCTGAAATGAACTTGTTGGTGTCTGAAATGTATTTTATACTGATGTTTTCTTCCTATTCTGTTTTCTTTTTTCAATCTTAAGTATTTTATCAGAGGCAGATTACCTGTCTGAGGTTATGTTTTGATGTTAAACTTCTTGGAGATTTTTATGTAAAATTATTCCTTGTTCTTTTTGGTAAAATAAAAAGTATACTTGTTTTTGGTATAATTCTTCTGTTATTTTCGGCACAACTTCTATCGGAAATTGTGCGTCTTCATCATTAAGGAGCACGGGCAGTTAAATATACAACCTCGATTCAAAATGAAGGTCGACAATGAAGCTACAAAAACAAATTATTTTTGTCTTTTTGAAAATATTTACTGAAACTTTCAAAAAGGAATTGTACGTTATCTTGCAAAAACGCCGCCCTAATTGAATGGGAATTAAAACGGTCGGACATGCTGCACTAAAGAACTACCGGCATAGCAATGCTGATAAGACTGTGCATTTGTGCAACTCTTCTTGTTCCTAATAGAATAACCGAAGAATATAAAAAGTTACGATTTACACACCAAAAAATGTTGCGTAAATAAATACCTAAATTTCATTTGTTTCAGTAAGTTTCATTTCTAACTTGCTTCCAGTTACTTATTTATAGACGTTGAAGTCGCGAAATTTTAACAACATTTCAATGGTGATTCCATTTGCAAAAACTTTGCTCAGTTTGACCATATTTTACGGGTGCTGTATTTTTAAATTATTTTAGAAGCAAAATCTATAACATTGAGCCTTCAATTTGTAATAAAGATCTACTCTCACTCATCCATAAAAGCACCTATTTCTATAGAGATTGCAATTGAACGTATGTTGTTCCTAAAGCGAGTCGGAGATGGTAAGTAGTTCTTTAATTTAAAATGTTGTCCAGTTGACCCCTGTCGAAATGGTTATTCTGTAGAGTAAAGGCACAACCTTTTCTAAATGTTTATTTTATAATAAATCAAGTTATTATTATAGTGTTAAATCTTACATCCTGTTTAGTAGTTCATTCCTAAGTTTTCTCCATGAATGGCGTAAATCACATGTCCGCACTTTAACCCAAGCCACCAGATTCAAGGTTAGCATGACCCATAGAGAAAAAAAGGAGGTGTTTGCATTTCGGGCATCTCGGACTTTTTTGATGACGTAGGTCGGTACGGACGATTTTTATCGTCGATTTTCTTGGAAATGGTGCAGTTTGTGGAAACGAGTCATTCTATGTAAAGTGTTGAAAATTATATCATGAGTTGATTAAAGCAAAAAATTCGGACGTTATGGTCCATTTTTCATACTTCGAATTCCGGATTTTGCCTGAGTACCTGTGCCGACCTACGTCACGGGGTAAACAGTCCTCAAGATGCAAACACCTCCCTTTTTTCCCTATAAGCATGACCAGGTCTCATTTTGTACTTCGAGTCTTGAATTCGATTGATTTCAGCGAGCTCAGCTAACTTTAGCATGGAACCTTGGTTTTAAAAGTTAACGAGGTAATCGGATTGACTGCAACGTCTAATGCCTAATTTTAACGCTGGCGCGGGTGGGCCGAAAAACGCATTCAACCTGACGTCAGCGGATACAAGTACGCATGGGAGACACGCTTATGACCGACGTTGCCAAAATTCATGAAAATCCAAAGTTACTTGCTTTTCCTCAAAGTAGCGCCAAGAGTGTATCAACAAAAGGGAGATTATCCCAAGTAGCGTTCCTCAACGGAAAAATCGCCGTATATTGCGATTTTATCGGCGATAAATTGCCAGGATCATCAACATCTGAGCTTTCACAGTAAAGAGGGGTCCAGGGGGATATCCTCGATGAAATTTGAAATAAAACACTGAAAAAAACAAGTTACGGGCTCGATAGACATACCAGCCGTTCCAGGCTCAGAGACCGAAACTTCCGGGTGTTGGAGCCGTAGGTTCAATAGCTCCGGGTGTTACGCCTGGAAGTTCCGGCTTCTGAGCCCGGAACGCGGACGGTATGTCTGTATGCTCCGTAAGTACGGCTTCCACGGCCGGAGTTTTTTTCAGCGAATGAACAAACTTGGCAACCGCGCAATGCCTACCGCTAAAAAGCGTTCTGAGCCGGAAGCAATACACGACCCTCCTTCGTAGACGAAGTTCAATCTCACGACTCGCTCCCTCTTTTTTCACCCTCCTCGACAGCCGTTTCATTACAGAGGCGAACAATTAGGTATTCTTGGAAAAATATGGCGTAAAAATAAACTTGGTTCAAGCCTTAAGCTATAGCGAGAAAAAATTATCATTGGAATCTCGACGCTTGGAGATAAAGCGTTTATAATCAGCTCGCAGAAACGGACTCATGCGCCGCGGAAGACGGTCTCGAGTCACAGTCGTTAGTCGATGAAGTATCTCGACTTTGTAACTGCAAAAACGCGTGTCTCGATTTGCAACACTCCTGACTTTCGGTCAAAATTTATTTTTCAGGTGGGAAACTACTCGGCGTCAATTTGTATAAACTTTTCTGATCTCTTCCGCTGTGTGAAAAATATTCTGTGACAAGTTCACACGATAGAGTTGGTTCGTTCTCCTTTGACGAACAAGACAAAATTCGGAACGGAGTTTTGGAATACTGCCAGAAAAATGCGCGCTTTTTGAGTTCCACCGTCGGTCTCCACTTTTTTATACTATTTCTACAAATTAATAATCACCCAAGTACAAGGAAAGGGAAAGGTGATTCGATGGACGCCATTTTTCTGTCAGAACGGCATGCGATATATCGCATCAATTGGTTCCATTTTTTTAGCTACTCGTCATTTTTCTCCAATTTTGAGATCGCAATTCTGTTGTCAGGAGACTAAAGCACTCACTTACCAAATTTAACAAAGAAATTCAACTTAATAAAGGCGTGGTTTTTTTAGGGAGAAAATATCGCATTCGAGTGCAGTTTCTATATCAGTATCGAATGCGATGTTTTCTCTCTAAAAAAACCACGCCTCTATTACGTTGAATTTCTTTGTTAAAATTGGTAAATGAGTGCTTTAGTCTCCTGACAACAGAATTGCGATCTCAAAATTGGAGAAAAATGACGAGTAGCTGAAAAAATGGAACCAATTGATGCGACATGTCGCATGCCGTTCTGACAAAAAATATGGCGTCCATCGAATCACCTTTGTTCCCCATCCCAAACAAACAATTTTGTGCACGCTTGTGTCCGAACGACGTAGAAATATTCAGACAGCTTCAAAACTGGATCAAATTTTGCAATGGACCACTAGACAAGGTACGAATTTCAGCGTTCTGATTTATGTTTCTTAACCAAAATCTTACGTAGAACATGATGCGCTCAACAAAAATTACCGAAATCAATACCTTACGAAGATATTTAATGATTCTTAATGCGTGAATTAAAACCATCCGCTCATGAAAACTCAATGCTCTACGTGATTCACATCGCGCGCTAAACGTTATCATGACAGTCTCTGCGATAAAAAAATCTGGCAACCTCGATCTTGACACTTTGGCTCAGCTATAGCAAATTGCTTATAGTTTGAACAACGTATGGTGGGATATGAACATTGCTCGATTGAGAAGCTTGCTGAAACCGTTGTAGTGCGCGATTTGACTCACGTAGAGCTTTGAGTTTCTTGTGAGCGGGCAGTTCAAATTCCTCGTAACCAATGTGTAATAAAAACGTTCATATCTTCGTTAAAAGTTGGTTTCAGTAATTTTCGTTGTAAGAATCGTGTTTTACGTAAAATTCTGGTTAAGGAACGTGTATCAGATTGCATAAATTCGTACCTTGTCTACTGGTCCATTCGGTATTGTTATTTCTGGCTCATCCCAGAAACAACTTATATCCTGTTGGTTTTCTTACGGAGTTAGGAGCTTTCATGAGCAAGTCTGAAGTAGTAGTTCCGTATTGCAAGAGTCAAACTGAGGTTCAGCAGAGACTTAAAATCTTTCCCTTGAACTACATTTCTTTCGTGTATGATCAATTTAAAACGATTCATATAATAATTTTCCAAAAATGTATGCCTACCCTCTAAAATCTTGATTTATAGGAGAATATTAATTACTAAACAAAGTTATATGTCCTTGATGATCTTAACTTTTTTCATGCTCTACTTGATTTGAATAAAAGCGTCAATCTTCTCCTTTTGCCCTTCACCTTAGAGGCATACGAATGTCAATACTTTAATATGAACTAATCCATCAGCCGTGCATTTCCATGAATTGATTGTAGAAACACTTGAAATATGAGGTCAGACAATCTATTTGCTCCACAGTTATCCACCCAAAGCATAAATAAAATAATTTATCGGTGACTTATCATCGTTTCTCAAGCAAAAAAACATATTTCCATTCCAATGCTGCAAAATCGGCCGAAGCGATTCATTCCCCCCCCCCTCTCCCCCAGGAAGACTGCAAGTTTTGTCCAATATTATGTTGCTTCTGCTTAATAAATAGAAATATCAATACAATTTTCGATTAGATGGGCCCGACCGTTTCCTCGAAAAAACTCAATTTTCGATTTGAAATTTCACAAAATTGAAATTTAGCTACGCTCTTATATCTGGACAAAGGAAGATATGACAGCCATACTGCCGTGCTAAGGAAAAACGCCGTATAAGCCTTCAGGCGTTGCCAAATTTCCTTTGACGAATCACTAATTTTTAAGAAAATGTTTGAATATTTTTCTTCCGATTTCTCAAGTAATTTTGCTTGCAATTTGATCTGAAAAGTCTGCAAATTTCAAAGAAAAATAAAGATAATTTTCCCCAAAAATAAACATTTTTTCGGAGGAAATTTGGCAACTCTCGAATGTTCATACGGCGTTTTTCCTTAGCACGGCAGCATAGGATGCACCGCCTCTTGTTTTTGAGAGCCTGGCTTGCGTAAACGGGAGTGGAACTGGATTTCTTCCTGCCCGGCTGCGTAAGAAATACATATATCTTCGGTCAATCTAAGCACGTATATTTCATCAGATTATCCTCCCTTCAGGCATGGGAGTCAATCAAACTTATTATTTTTTAAACAAGAAACCATGGGACGTGAGCGCACTTTCGGACCTGATGACAGTTTTGTCCTTGGCATTTTTGTGCGCCGCTCAACCCATTTTTTTTCTTATCGGCTATTTTTGGAGCTTTGTTTAAAGTGCAAAGTATTGAAAAACAGTCAAACCTGTAGGGTTGACACACACATATTTATGATAAAAGGAACTATATGTATAGGGTTTGCATGCAAAATAGTTCCTTTATAATTACGTCCACATGGCGATTGCGATAGATGCTCTGTATTCATTTACTGTCCAGTGGCGTGGCGTGAATTGCGATATATCGATTCTTATGCCATTTAAACCTATGGTAGAGAATATATTATTAAGGTGTTCGCTGCGAACACCGTTAATCGATCCTTTTCCATAGGTTTAAATGGCGTAACAATCGATACATCGCAATTCACGCCACGCCACTGTTACTGTCGCTCCTTCAGCGTATCGTCGGTGAGATTGGAAAACTCGAATCTCGGTTTACGACGCGTTGCAAACTTCGAGTTATAATTTATTTTCCAAATGGAAAAATACTCAACGCCATTTCTTTGAAACTTACGTGATTTTTGTCATTCTGCGTAAAATAAATATTTCGTAAAAATTGCAAGCAGTTATGTTGCTTTGTTTTCTTTTGATAGGATAAAATTGAAGCGGATACTTTGAAACAACACGAGCGAGCTTTCCGATTTTACAGTTTTTGTGCCGTTCACAGACAACTCACACAACTCAGGGTGTCTACTTAAACAGGCTGGCCAAAAATCAGTACTTTTCCAGTACTTTTTCAGTACATTCCCAAGAAATTCAGTACCTCCTTAACGGAAAAAATCAGTGCTTTTTCAGTACCTCCATTTCACGAAATTCGAAAAATTTCACAAATTTGAATTTCTCGCCAAAACTGAGACAAGGGTAATAAAAAAATTAAAGAAAATTCCGGACTTCCTTGCAGAATTCCGCATTTTTTCAGGACTTCCGGATCATCTTTAAAAAATCGGTACTATTTCCGGAAATTCCGGACCTGTAGACACCCTGCAGGACAAGGGACTTAGGTGACAAAATACTCAAAGGCCAATTTTTTAATACATATTTCAAAAACTGGAAAATTCTGAACCTAACTTTAGACGCATTCCAAGTAGCTATATATTTATCCCCAATCGATGATACTGATAATCTATCATAAGTTAATCAATAGCTCAGGGTTCTTTTGCACGACTCCGTCAGATATTTTACAGCGCTAACTTCATCAGCGATTTTTTACCAAAAAAAATACAATTACCAAAAGCAATTCTTTCCTTCGAGTTCCCTGCTTGTTTTTATTCCAATGCAACACACGGCAAATTATTTACCAGGGGTATGAATCTACCGCATTAAGTCTATCCTGCAGGCAGCATTTTCACTGTCGGATTTGCGATGGAGTGATCCGATGGGTCCCAATTATTTATACACACCAGTTTAAATAGCGATGAGCAAACATGAACCGCGAAACCAAGGACGGGTAAGGAGAAGCGGGGAGGGGGCGATGGGGGGAGGGCGGGATGAACCACGAAAAAACGGGTAATCTGGCCGTGGCGTTAACAGTCACGCCTTCAGCGCGACACACGATGCTCCTGATCAGCCATTCTCAAACATAACGCTCTAACGATAGATAGACCTGCGTACCTGCGCTGCAAGCACCTGCCTGTGAAGTGTGATTGAAAAAAACAAAAGAAGGTGGTCGTTCGTGAAATGCATTTTGACGTCATTGGGAAAACCTTGAAGTACGTATGAGACCGCGGAAAACGTAAGCCGTTCAAGGCAATGGGTCGGTTCCACTACTTACAGAATAACGTTTTTAGAGTTTAAGTTTTTTTTTTTTTTTTTTTAAAGTTATTAGAGGTTTTTATCCATTCGAGGATTCTGCAACCTTGAATGAGCATCGGGTTAGGGTTAGTACACATCCATGCTTCATGCTTTCAAATTTTCGGGGAAGAAGGCCGAGTGGAGTATGTTTTTGCAGATCCACACGTTAGTTCCTTGAAAATTTGTCCCCACTACCAGGAAACGAACCCGGGACCGATTAGTCTAGAGTCAGATGCGCTGACCGCTGGGCCAACCTTGCCAGCAGGATTTGAGCTTATGGATTCGCAAGAAATAATGAGATCCGTCCAAACGTCTAATTTCTACGTCAAAAGGAACAAAAATTCAAGGAAACCCGTTTTGGTTAGTTATCTTTGAAAAAACTGAATATGAGCTAAGGTTTTCAATGGATTAGTCAAAGATACGCATTTTTCTTTGGTTTCGACCATCGATCTGGTGCCTATCACATTCAAATAATGCGGTTACTGAATCTAGATAGTTGCATTCAGTCTGTGGTCTTGCCATTATGTTGTCATCGCCCTTGTCATTTAAAACTAGAATCCATATCGAATCTGAGCATAAAGCTACAGTATACATCTTAATTTTTGGCTTTGCATCAAAAATATGTTAAAAAATGATAATCAATTGATCTGCTAATATTTAAAGACGAGATTTTGAAAAGATAAATGTGCCTTTCACTAATTTTCTGTAAAAAGTTGCATCAGAATCACCTAACAGTAAAACCAGTCGGTGGAAAAAAGTTACATGTCCAGGCAACCCCAAATACTAGACAAAATAAATGTAAGTACTTCAGCCAAATTGAATCTACTCTTCAACGTAATTCCCTCACGATAATGCATTTACACTCGTAAAAGCATCGATGATTGATTTTTTTTCTGCTCTCCTCGCTTGAGCATTTCACCTTCAATTACTCGCGTTAGTGCCCTGCTAGAACGTAAACAAACGTAAATCGAGGGAAAAAACGCAAAGCGCTGAATTTCGTTTTTTCTATTCCAATCTTTATTGTTGACGCGAGGTTGTCTCTTCATCACTCGAACAAAAAGTACTTTGATTTTTCGGAAGACACGCGTGAGTTAGAAACACAACCTTCCTCGGTTCAGTAAGTTCAGCGTGCGTAGTTGAGTAACTCTGCGTAGCCATAAAATCAGTTATGCCAGGGCGAAATCTAGTTTTTTTTTGAAGTCGGGGAAAACATAATACTCGTAGTTATTTCTAAAAGAAAATTGAGTGGCTTACCTTATTGTGATTTCTATTCAGTGCAGTCTACATACAAATCTGAAAAAGAAGTTAGAAAGCGGAATTATTCTAACAGTTGGTCAAAACGTTGGTCGAGTTCATGTGTCAAAATAAGGAAAATCGGAATCAAATACATAGGTAAGTTACAACTGTGCTAGAAAACAAGAAAGCTTATGAAGCACAACTTTTAGGACTTTTTTGGGATGTAATGTCCCAAATCGACGGTGAAACTACCAAACCACGTATCTCGGTTTGCGACGTCGCAGACTTCCTGTCATACTTTATTTTTTAAATGAAAAACTACTTAACATCCAGTCTTGAAAATTTCTGTGATTTTTCCTCTTCGTGCGGAGAAAATTCCGTGAAAATTTCAAGGAATGATATTGATTTGGTCTACTTCAAAAAAATAAAATGTGAGCGTAGATTTTTAAACACCGCAAACGAGATACGTGGTTTGGTAGTTTCACCGTCGATATGTCCTTTTCATGGTGCTACATTATGTGAGCCTCCCATAATCGAAATGCAAATCTATGGGGCTCTCGTAAGAAAAGGAGCTGTTAAAGAAACGGCTACGAATACGACCCTTATTCGTGTATTTGGACTGCATTTTGCAATTTGGAGCTCTGAATTCTGGCACATCTGAAAAAACACGTATATGCATAGGGAAACTAATGGCACATACGTTACGTTAAACCGGGCCGGAATTTATGGTTCCAAATTGCAAAATGCAGTCCATTTCAAGAATAAGGAAGGAAGGAAGGCGAAGGAACCTCTGAGGTTGGCGCGCTAAAATTCAGCGCAGGATTTGCGACGTTAATATACTCCAAGGGTGGATACCAGATAACCGCGCACTAGACTGAAGAAGAGGCTAAAGCGGACTGATTATTGAAATTGATGGACAAAGCTATAGACAAAGAAGACATAGGGAGTATGGAGCGATCCTATTGGTTGAAATGGGAGGTTCTTATCGAAAAAAGGAGAAAATGATAGACTAACTGTCGGGTTTCTCGTGAGTTGCCGTTAGTTAGTCTATTACCTACCTCCTTTGTCCATTGCAACCACCCGCTTTCACCAATAGGATCTCTCCATACCTCTTTTGTCTCCTTTGTCTATAGCTTTGTCAATCAATTTCAATAATCAGCCCGCTGCTCGAGAAGGACCGTTCCGCTGAAAATTCAGGGTCAACCGCGGGCCTCCGTTTGTGGCTTCAAATCGAATGCGAAAGCTCATTGATGTCCCTGAAATTGGACGTATTTCTAGCAAACAGAAATATGAGCATCATGACTTGAACTCTGTTATGCATATATTATCGTGGGTCTCAGGGCTCATGTCTTAATGCACATAATTCTGTTTGATAGAAATACGTTCAATTAGCATTCAGACGTCCTCAAAATGACACCAAAATACTGATTCCGGGAATACCGGCGAAACAGCACTCAGACCACCGAAAGTCGAGACCTGCCCGTGGATGTCAATCTGAACGCCGATTCAAAGCAGCCCGGAGATGCAACATTTATAATACTGTAAAAAATGAAATTTCAAAACCAAAATTCATGAAACTTTTTAAAAATTGGCAGTGGACCTACAATGGGATGAAACTTATAGAAACGGTAAAATCTTAATTTTGAAATCCAGAGGGGGAAAATCGATGATGACATTTTTTCGAAATTCCTTATCTAATTCTCGGATACGGGATTCTCTCGGGGATTAGGCACGAAAGTGGACCGAGTTTACCAGAAAGGAACCAACCCACATTCAGTTGAAACTGAGAAAAAGAGGTTTGAAGTTTTATCCCTGCACAAGGCTCAATGTGAAAAATAAACTTCAATCCCTCTTTTCACAAAAAATGTTTGTTTATAGACTTTCAGTTTTCGGCAGGGGAGAATATACGGCTAGTGAAAGTCAAAAACATTCTTAACTCGATTTTTCCAAAAGTGTGGGTTGGTTCCTTTCTGATAAACTCGGTCCAATTAGGACTTCTTGAAACAGGTGAAAAAATACGTCGCACAAAGGTAAAATGAAGACCTTGTGCTAACGACTCAAGTCGTCGTTTCCTAGACGAAGGAACGTAACTACAAATCAATGTTGCCAAATTTCCCTTCGTAAATTGCATTTTAACCAGAAAAATCTTGGGCATTTCTAACTGAAAATTTCACTGATTTTTCTTCAGATTTCATGCAAAAATCAGACAAATTTGGATAAAAATTGCACACTTACATTTTGTTAAAATAAATTAATTGTTGGAGTCAATTTGGCAACCTTGGATTGGAGTTACGTTCCTTCGTGCGGGAGACGACGAAGTGCGTCATTTTGCCAGAGGTCAACGTAATGTTCCTCCGGTGCATGGACGAGTATTACGTAAGCACGATACATCACCCGTGATGGCACGCGTGCATTGGCAGGGGTGGGTGTGTTGTGGGCGGTTCGGGGAGGAAGAGAAAGGGGTTGGAGGGCCGAAGGTGCTGGACCAGGAGCCTGGTGGCGGACGCAGACTCGCCGCGGAAGATAGGCCACCCGTATAAAAGTCCGGAGCCGAGGTCCTCAGGGCCCCGTAGCGTAGAACTCGGCAACAAGTGATCATGAGCGAGAGTATAATGGCATATTTCCTCGTCCTGTGCACCGTACTTGTTGCAGTCAACCAGGCTCAAGGTAGGTCTCACCTCTTTCTGCCGTTCTTTTAAGTTTTTCTTAAGTTCTTTTAAGTTTTGCAACAAGTGATCAAGAGCGAGGGTATAATGGCATATTTCCTCGTCCTGTGCGCCGTACTTGCTGCAGTCAACCAGGCTCGAGGTAAGTCTCACCTCTTTCTGCCATTCTTTTAAGTTTGGTGTTATTAAGTCGTCCGATTAAAAAACGACTCGACTTAGAAGATTTTCAGGTGATTACAGAGAAATGGTTTTTTGATACGATGCAACTTTTTTTCAAACAATTTTTTTTGACCTCCCATGAAGTTCACATTAGCAGATTTCGGTCCGAATGAAAATGATCCACCTCTAGCGGTTTTAAATGTTTCATTGCACAAAATAGTTTTTGAGGTCATTTCCAGTTTATTGCAGAAAAAAGAGTTTTTTGGGTCCGATGCAAGTTGCATTTACAAGCAAACGTTTTTTTGACTTCCCAGAGGGTGAGCGTTAGCAGATGTTGATCAGTACAAAAACTATCCTTCTCCATAGGTATCAAAAATTTGTTTCATTGCAAAAAAATCAGATTTTTGGGTCAGAGGCAATTTTTGTTTTTTGTTAAAAAAAATTTAAGAAAAAAAAAAAAAAAAAAATGATCTTTTATAGACGAGCATATGGTTGTCATTGGTGGATTTCGGTCCGCTAGAAATCGATCTTCTTCTGGAGTTATCAATTGTTTATACTTCTAAAAGAAAAAAGCGAAACCTTTGATACCTTGGTTTCTTCTAGTAGAGAAACAATATGTACCAAAAACATGTACGAATTATTGAGAATGATTAGTTAGTTTGTTATCGCACCTTCTTCCCTTAGAGTTGGGTCCTTTCCTAACTGGAAATTCAATTTTAGCTATGCTAAGAATTTTTTAAAAAAAAAAAAAAAAACTCTTTTAAAGCTGCATTTAAAAGGGAACAAAGTTCTCTAGGAAAAAGAGACCTACTGGCAGATCACTTAGCAAGATCCTCCATAAAGTTCAACATTGACTCTAGAGCTTTTTATCACATTACGTGAATTAAACTCCATTATTTTGTAATCTGAAGAGGAACCTAGTCATATTCGTTTATTTTACAGTGATTTACTTTTTTCCAGTCAGCTGGAGGAGACTGCTTTACAATATTTACTGAAAGAATTGTGTTTTTTACACGAGATCGATGTTTTTGATCGGAAATAAAACACAATGACAGTTTAAGGTTTATCGTGTGGTTGAAATTCCGGTATTGGACATAAAAATTGCTTTCTGATGAGGACGAGCGAGTGAAACTCTACAAAACACGCTTAAGTCACTATCCTAACGTTAAAGTTGCTTTTCTTGCGCTAAACTATGTCAATTTGAACAATTTTATTAACAGGAAGAATCGCCGCTTTTATTTTGTCTCGGAAATAATATTCCTACCAATACTTGATTTTTTTTGTGGGGTATTATTATGTATTACCTACGAATAGTTCCACGCATTTGGCTCCCTTTTCATTACAGTTTAGTTGGTGCCCTAATTAAATAATACTCCATTCGAAATTCCAAATTCACATTTTTTTGTTTTTGTACAATATCTTTTACTTCACACTGCAGATTTTTTCCTAATTTTAGAGGGCTGAAACCTACTCGCAGATTATATCCCAGTTTCAGTTCAGTTCAGTTTCAGTTTCAGGCGGACCGAACTTGGAAATTTAAAAATTCTGATGCAGCCATGACTTCTCTACAGTAGAATATGTTTGTTTCCATGAATTGAGAGCGTGAAACAAGTTTATAAGTTTAAATGAACCTAACTATAGCAAAATTAATTAAGTTCCAAGGAGAATGAGAGGATGAACGTCATTTTCTTTCCTGCCTATCCTCCGTGAATTGTATATTTATTTTCATTTTCTTGCAAATTTTTTTCAATCCATCTATTCTAGACTCTGATTGGTTTGATTACTTACCAAACATTGATAGTATACAGCATTCACAAAGCAAAACATCATACCATATTCGATTACAAAACTTTGCCTGTCATACTTTGTTTATGTCGTAGACAATTAGCACTCGCCGGCAATTCGCAAGTCACTTGTAAAATAATGGAAAAGCACGACATTTAGAAATAAAAGAAAAAGATTAGAGTACTTTTGTTTTGCCTTTGATGCGAGGAGTCACTTTTTCCTCCGTGAAATATGAAGAAACAGACACATTCAGGAGAGTATGTGGCGGAAACCGCGACCGTAGTTGGGTTAAGGTCAAACAAGCAACTAAACTAACTCCGTGATAAAGCGTAGAGTATCACAAAAAATGAAGGCGCTCCAAGCCGAGAACATGATTTTGAAGACATGAAGACAAGTATGCATCAAACCCTCACTAAGTCTAGGCGCATTATTGCGCTTTATCTTAATAATACCTGACCCGCTCGCAAATTCGGAGATTGTTAATTGCCTGCGACATTTACATCGCACTAGTTTTCATTTCCATTCTTTTCTCGGTAAAACATTTGAAAATATTTTAGAGCGATTTCAAGAAATAGACACATCCAATTTTCTATCAAACTGGCTCTTCAGGAAAACTCTTAGATGATTTTCCCTCTTATAAGGAGTTTTAAAGTTAAGTGGACGGAGACTAAAAGAGAGAAGAAACCCGTAATTAAGTTAATGTCGATAATTGCAGGTCGCAGTAAAACTACTGCTGTGGCGACGGTCGCAGTCTGGCAACAGTGGGCTTTGCTCATTTAAAAGCGCGTCGAAGAATCGATAAATATAAATCGAAACAGGCTGCCTTGCCTGCAATCGATTATGCATGTGCACTAGATTTAAAAAGAGGAAATACAAGCTTGCCGACTTGCCGGAACATAATCGCTGCCAGAAAAGATGTGCGTCTTAAAAACGCTGAAAAAGCAGTTCTTTTCGGAAAATTAAAGTAAAGACGCTGGACAGTACGCTACCTTTGCTGTCTTAACAGTGAAACTTGAGCACGCGGATAAAAATTCACCCCGTCAATTCAAAAATAAAGCTGATTAAGAACACGAGGATTTTTGAAGGATCGCTTTAGATTTAGTAATTATAGAGAGATATAACGCATTCCAATACATTTGGGGGGAAAATGTCTTGGTATACAAACGGAAATTATCAGTATCAAATCTATGGCTAAAGTGAGAAAAGCGCAATGACATCACAACGTTCTAAAACATCTCCTCACGATTTATTTTTAGAGGAGGAGTAAACAGGACATCTCCTCAACATTTTAAGTAAATATCTTCAACGGATGAATGACAAAAAACATTGAAATTTTTTTTAAAAATATGTTGGCCGCTTTTCTTTAAGAAAAATTAAACATGAGTGGATATTCGTAACGTCACGGAGGGATCGGTGGTACTAGTTTTTCGATTTCAGCCATCCAAATTTTCCGCAATTATCAATGATTGTATGGCCTGGTTACACGCTCAAATTTCCGTCAAATTCCGATCAAAATGATGACAAAGATGGCGGTCGAGAGTTATCTAGATTGATGAGTAAAATTAATTAAAACAGCGTGTTGATAGAAATAAGCATGAAATAAGCACGGTTGTGTGACGGTAAAAAAAAAAAATAAGTTCTATAACAACTTGAATTTGTGAATATTATTAGTTTTGAATATTTGCCATGGACTTGTTCAGTAACTATTTCGCAATTGGCCCCAGTAGTATATTGCCTTTAAATCTCTCGTAGTTTTTTCGGCGGATCTCAGCCTTAACCACGGTTACTCGGTTTTTTAGTTCATTCATTCTAGGTCGTTTGAAGATACTAGAACAATTTGACTACAAGGGTTCTTGAAAAACAGTCTGTAAAATTAGAAATAATGAGTTGGATGACTGGCTCTAAAATCATTCTAGTAGTTGAAAAGAAATTTCGTAATGACGAACACATAGTTCCTCAGTAAACCCTTATTCCTCCGCAAGAAACTTCGTCATTTCAGATGGATTTTCACAAGGATACGTCGAATGCATTTATCTGAATTTGTAGTTTCACTTCATATTTCAGCAATAATTTGATCGTTTATACCTGAAAACATATTTCCACTATTTTCCCCCAAATAATCCCGGTTTGTAATTAACCCTTGAAATGAAACTGAAAGTTTACAAACAAAAATATTGTACTGGATTAGGCGAACTGAGCGGTTAATCGTCACTTGGACATACTTTTAGGTTAATTTTAGGGTTGAAAAAATAGAATATATGGGTGAAACAGCTAAAATGTGCGTCTCAGCGTGATCTGTCCATTTTTTGCCAAGAAATTTAAAGTGAAACCAGTGATTCAGCAGAATGTGTTTGATATAATATCGAAGTTTGCTTACTCGTGCTCAGTGTTCCAAACTTACAGGTGTCATTTACGCTAAATGATACAAAAAATCAGTTATGACCCCTAAGAAATTAAGAGTCTGGCTGAAGTTGACCTGTAAAAAGTTGCCGCAGTTCCAACTTTTCTGATTGGTAATTTTTCGTCATTTTTGTCCAAATTGCGGCTACTATATACACTGAGAAAAAACTATGGTTTATAAACCTATTAGAGGTAAATATGGAACACCTATAATAGTCGTAAATAAACTAATGATTCTCGGTCTGTGAACCATACTAAGGTCTCTGTACCTAATTAAGGTACCCCGTACCATAACTAAGGTATATGTGCTATTATTATATGTAGAGGTACTACTATTAGTGGTGTTCCATATTTACCTCTAATAGGTTTATAAGCCATAGTTTTTTCTCAGTGTAGTATTGCAACCGAACAATACATTTTTTGTATGACTTTTCACTGAATGCGCCTTAATACAGAGGTAAAAATTTATGTTGCTTTTTAAAAAATCTTCAACGGTCTCTAAAAGTGAGTTTGGTGGATCATACGGCTTCTACACTAAGCGACGAGCTTAGAACACTGCTTTCGCTACTATTCTCCTTAAGGATCGGCAATTGTATTTGTCGAGGAACGAATACGCAAAACCAGGCGCAGACAAATCGATCGATAAATCGCTGAAGC